AGTTCTGCATCTCTGATTTATTTCAACAACTCCAGCACAAGATCGTGTCTTATGGATTGTCCCCAAGGGGGGCTGTCTACCTGTGAGGAGGGATTTCCTATCGGACCCCAGGAACAGCTGGTAAATTCCAACCACATGACAAGGGAGTTTGCGCAAGGCCTTGAAATAGCTCTTTTTAATCCAAGATAATGAAAAAAGGTTCAAAAGCCATCTGCTTTCTCAGAGACAATGGGAAACTGACCTTCGTTGGGAGCTGCCTAATCTTCTTCCCTCATTCTAAAAATGATTTACAATCAGAAAAACCAAGTTGCTGGACAGACCCACCCAAGACAGGACTAAGGTAGATAGAAAAGGACAGATTGGGTGAAGGGAGCTGTCTACAGTTCTGCTGAGCTGATCGCTGCCGCCGCCGCGCACCGGACCAAGCTGCGCGTTACGTCAGAGTCCCACGGCTGGAACTTCCTACAACATTTTGTTCTTCAGAACAAACAGTGCGGGAGAACGGACATTTTGACTCAGAAGCCCAAACGAGGGTGGCTGGGCGGGAGGCTTGGAGACCTGCCCGTCCCCGTGGCCACTTTCTGAAGAACAAAAATTTGTCTGGAAGTCTGACAAGAGAAGGCCCATCTTTGTCGCTTGCATCAAATCAAAATCCTGCTCTGCCCCGCTCAGCGCTCACAAGAATAGCTGAGAAACCATCAATGCCCAGAGATGCCGCAGTCCCTCACCCTTGCTGTTCTGGTCCACTGGGGGGCGGGGGGGAGAGGGTAGGCAATCCCCCCTCCCCAGATTTGTTGGACTATGACTTCCAACACAGCTGGTGCGGGTGAGGGGAGCTGAAGTCAATCACGTCTTCTGGAGAAGTTTATGCACAGCAAGCCACTCGCCTTTGGCTAAGCAGTATTTTTGATGCTCCTCCAGAAGGTGAAGGATTGCATGGCATTGTCCCAGGCTCCAAATGGAAAACTACCCTGCATTTAAATGCAGACACCCACACAAATGTCCAGTGCCAGTTCTTCACTCCCGTACCCACTGCAAAAAGGCCCCACAGCTCCGCGGCGAGCTTCTAAGCATTTCCGTGATATTGGTCTAAAACACGGCCGGCATGTCGCATTCCACAACTTCTGGGCCATGCCCATGTTTAAGTGCCATTAAGTCCTAGGAGCGGTTTCTATTTTTGACAGAATTATTAGTTGGGGAATTTCTTTCCTGAAGGTAGTGTCACTAGCTTGAGAAGCACGCAAATATCTCCTCATAATTCAGGGATGAAGAATTCCCCAGGCAGTCCAGCCGCCCCTCCCCCTCTCCTGCCCGTGTATTTCAGAGCTAGTCACGGGTCCTGCTCCACGGGTGTTTCTGCTCACCAGAGTAGGCCCAAGCTGCGCTCAAGCTAACCCCTAGATATGGCCAGAATTCTGCAGGATGCTTTGGCACTAGCAGTGCTGAGCAGAAGAGCAAGTGGCCGTGAGAGGGGAAGGGGTCTCCAGAAACCCATGGGGGGCTTCTCTTCACCCTGGTGAGGAGACCCATGAGCGTTGTGTCTGCAGCAAGCCAGTTTTCTCGCTGGGATCAGCTGCATTCCAAGTTCACAATCCAAAGAATCATGCCGGGAGTGCTGTGCACCCCACTGAAATCTGGGGCTGTATTTTCCCAAAGGCAACCCAAAGCACGGCACAGCAAGCCATGCTTGATGCTCTTGATGCTCAGCGAGCGGTTTTCTGACGGAGCTTCGAGGGTCACAGCACACGGGCCAGAGGTCCCGCTGGGCAAACAACAGGGCTCCGAAGCACCTTTTGTGGGTCCAGAAATACACTTGAGCGCTCACCCTGCAGACAAAAAGGCTGAGGTCAGACATAACCCCTGCCCCTTGCTGCCTTTTCCAACTTCTGGTCATGAACATTTCCACTCTTGTGTCTTCCCCGCCACAACAGCTCCAAAGCTAGGCAAGGTGTACAGATGCGTGTCGTTTCCTGACGCTGCAGGAAGGATGCTGTGGACCGGAGGACGCTGGCCTCTGCAGGCAGCATTTCTGCTGCTCCTCAGGCCTACGGTCACACACGGGCAGCCTCCTCCAACCTGGCACCCGCCAGATGCGCCGGACAACTACGGCATTGAAACAGAGCTCTTCCCCCTCTTCCTAGGTCTGATTCGGTCCCCCACAAAGCGCCACGTCCCCTCAGGTGGGGGCCTGCCCCACGTCCTGCCAAACGCTGCCTTGGCGGGATCGTCCTGAGGACCAAGGGGACCCGCTGGCGGTTCCAGCACCCTTCCCTCTCCGGGCCAAGGGTGGAGCGCGGCACAGGCTGCAAGAGGTTGCTAGACAAACATTTGGGTGGGTAAGGTATGGTCAGGTGGATGCAGCCCATGAAGCCAGGAGGAGAACAAGCAAGAGCACAGCAGTGCGCTGGAAACTCCCCGCCAACGCCTCCATTCGCGAGCGAGAGGCGCTAAGCTGGCCATGGGGCTTGGCTTCAGGCCCTGCCCTCTGCAACGCCGGGATCAGTAGCCCCGGCCTGCCTCACAGAGATGTGCTAGGATCGCTGCAACATGGCCAGTGCTAAGGAAGAGTGGTGGGGAGGGAGGGAACATGCCTCGGGGCAGAGCCCCCCCTTTGCAAGCCGAAGGACTCTCCAGACAGGCCCGGGAAGGGTCCCTTCTCGAAATTCTGGGGAACTGCTGCAGGCCCGTGTCCACAGGACAGTGTAAACAGATACCCTCCAGAAGTTTGGGCTGCAGCTCCCATCATCTCCAACACCCACGGCATCCTGTGGTTCAGCACAAGGCATTTTCCTCTGCCTTTCTGTCCCGAGAGAGGAGAGCTGATGGAGCAGACAGAGGCAGCTCCCTGAATTCCCCAAAGTGTGACCCCAAGGAACCCAAAGTCCCCTTTCCATTATTTGGTGGCCCCGATTCATAGCCCAAACATGTGCATGCTTACTCTGGTGCAAATTCCACCGAATTGCAATCCTACACCGGCTGTAGGATTGCACCTGGAAAGCATGATCCAAGGCTTGTTGACTTGGAGGCGACCAGCACTGTGGATGATGGCACTTGCTCTCTAGTGAACAGGTTCAGGGGCAGACGGAGGCCGCACGGCATGGCTATCACGCCCAGGCAACCTTGGGAATTGTGCTTCTGCAAAGGGGGCGAGGGGCCCCCTCTTTGGGGGCTGCTCTGAGAGTCTGACTGGTTCATAAAACCAGCTTCCCCTCAGTCAGTGCTCTGCATCTATGTGTGCGACTACAGCTCCCACAGGCCCCAGCCAGGGTGCCTGTTGGGCACGCAGGCATGGGAGGAGGAGGCCGCAATCCAACGCATGCGGGAGGCAGCAGCCTGGAGCAGGTTGAGCAAGCCATGAACGCGCTAAATGAGCTGGGATCTGAATCCATCCCAGCCTTCTCCAACCTGATGCCCCCCAGATGTTTGGGCCACAACTCCTAGCATTCCTGACCTTTGGCCAATCTGACTGGGGCTGATGGGAACTGAAGCCCAAAACATCCAGAAGGGAGGGCTCCTGCCACCTCTTGGGGCATCTCTCCTTTCTTAAACCAAACCCTTTTAAGCCCGGGGCTGCCTTCCCCGGCCTTGCGAGACCTTTGCAGCAGGCTCTGGGAAGTCCGCCCGGCCACGCGTGGCAAGGGACATGCACGTGGCCAGCCAGGCTCGTGGCTCCAGGCGGAATCGACCGGCATCACCTACCCATCCCTGACAGCAGCCCTTCCCTTATCAATGAGGATCAATGGCGTGGCCAATTAAGTCTCTATCTCAGGCAAATAGCAGGAGCTGTTTCCGCTGCCCTTAAGCGCCTGATTCGCCTTCCGTGGTTCTGAGCAAATAAATGGTAAATAAAAATGGAGCCCGCAGGGGAAATGGTTGGAACCAAGAAGCACAAACTCACCTTTTTCCAACTGGAAATGCCAGTGTGACGCCAAATGGCGCTGGACACGCCGCTCAGCTCCCTCCTCGTTGTTCCCGGTGCAGCGGCAAGAGAGTGTTACCCTTGGACTCTGCCTCACATTTTCCTTTAGGCGGCTTTTCAGCAGCAAGTGAAATTCTATGTGTGGTCCATCTCTCTTCTCTTCCCTTCCCTTCCCTGCGAGAGCCACGGTGGTCCCCCACTTTCGGTGCTTCCCTGCCGGAAAAGGACCACCCTTCCCACGTATTTTGTGGACCAGTGGGGGGAACGTCTTTCTTTTAGCTCCCTCCCCAGCCCAGAGAAAATGGTGCTCTGTCCATTTCTGGATGCCTCCAAGGAAACCAAAGTGGTCAGTACCTTGGCTGGGCCCCCATGAAACGCTGGCGCGCCAGAGGATTCGCTGTGGGGCCTCCTTTGGTCCCTTCCCTGCAGAGACCCCGGTCACACCTTTCCTTCGCAGGGCTCCTCTGTGAGACAAAGGTGGCCTCCATACCTGCCTGAGTTCCTTCCCTCCCTGCGTTTTTCGCTTGGCCCACTGCCTCTGGGCTTCTCCCCCTCCCCTGAAATGGCCGTGCATTTGCCTTTAGCAGCTGCATAGCAGAAATCCTCCAGGCTCAGTCGCCTCCTGGACTGGAGGCCAGCGATGGGAACCGCTCCCCTCTGGCCTTCTCCTCACGGTGCCTCCATGTACGGCCTGGAGCAGGGGAAGAAAGCTGGCTGCCAATGGGCCCCCCAAGGTGCCCGAGCTTCCCCCACGGCCACGTCGGCCGGGCTGCTCCGAAGCAAAGCGAGGGCTTCTGGCCGCGCAGGCTTCATTTCCCAAGAATGCCTGAGGGGCCACACGAGGGGGAGGGCAGAGATTTCCTTAGGAAATAGAACTGGTGGGCGGCCGCAGACCACAGCTTTCCTCTGCCGCGTGTCCAGCCGGCAAGAAAAAGGGGACTGCAGAAGGGGCTCCGCTCCCTTCTGCCGGCCATTTTGGGGTCCTCGCACTGCCAGGCTCAAGAGCACGGCCCCTCCCCGGCCTCCCGCCCCCCACGGAGAGCCCGCCCTTCCCTTGACTGTGTCCCTCTGCTTCCCGCAGGTCTTTCCTTCAGTGAGCACCATGACCTCCAGCCTGGGGCCTATGAACCCGATCAATTCCTACGTGACGTTGAACCCGCTCAGTTCCCCCAGTTCCATGAACATGACGTACCCGAGCAGCGGCCTGGCCAGCCCGTCGCTGACGGGGCTCACCAACGCCAGCAGCCCCATGGGCCTCCCCACAGTGGCGTCCCCGGTCAGCCCGGTGCTGACGCCCCTGGGGGCTCAGGCACCCGCTCTCAATTCGCTGTCCTCCTATCCAAATGTCGGCCAGCCCATGGCCCCTCTGGGCTACTCTCCGTCGAGCATGAACCGGCCCAAGGAGATCAGCAAGTCCTACCGGCGCACCCTGACCCACGCCAAGCCGCCCTACTCGTACATCTCGCTCATCACCATGGCGATTCAGCAGGCCCCGAGCAAGATGCTGACTCTCAACGAGATCTACCAGTGGATCATGGACCTCTTCCCCTACTACCGCGAGAACCAGCAGCGCTGGCAGAACTCCATCCGCCACTCGCTCTCCTTCAACGACTGCTTCGTCAAGGTGGCCCGTTCCCCGGACAAGCCCGGCAAAGGGTCCTACTGGGCTCTCCACCCAAATTCCGGCAACATGTTCGAGAACGGCTGCTACCTGAGGCGCCAGAAGCGTTTCAAAATTGAGGACAAGGCCAAGAAGCCCAACTCCAAAGCTTCCGGCGCCCAAGACCAGCCCCCAAAGATTCCCGAAGGTCTTCAAGAAGGCCAGAGCTCAGAGGGCGCCGAGTCAGGCCATTCAGACACCTCCCATGGGTCCGAGGAGCAGAGGGGCCTGGTCCAGCTGGACTGCTCGGGGGGCCAGGGCTCCTCCCCAGCGTCTGAGGCCTCCCCAGCCCCCATCTCCCAGTCTATGAACAGCCACTACTTCGCCACCTCCATTACCAACCTGGATCTTCCAAGTGAGCTCAAAATGGACCCTCAGTTCAACTTCAACCACCCCTTTTCCATCACCAACCTGATGTCTTCGGAGCAGAGCCACAAGATCGACCTGAAGTCCTACGAGCAGGCCATGGCGTACAGCGGCTACGGCTCCCCACACGCCGTGGAAGGCAAGCACGCCTACGAGACGTCCACCTCCCTCAGCGAGACCGGCTCCTACTATCAAAGCCTCTACAGCCGCTCGCTGCTCAACGCTTCCTAAGGCGGTCGCCCTGCCACCACCAGGAGGAACGGAGGCGGCGGCCAGAACGAAGAGCACCCCTGCCTCGTGCCCCCGTCACCAGCAAGGCGTTTCCTCCGTGGCCAACCCGCCACGACCTGGCTGGGGCAAAGGCGCGACCCACGGACCGCGCGCTTTCCGGACCTCAAGAGCTCGACGGCCGCCAAGCGCTCCTTCAGAGGCCTTCACTTCATTTCCGTAGACTCGCTTGGCCATGACGACTAGGGGGCTGCAAGGAGGAGGAGGAGGTCGTCCCGGCCGTGCTGCCATCAGCCCACGGCCTGCTGGGTAAAAGCGGCCGGCGATCCACCTTCACTTCGGTTTGCCTGTGCTGTCGGGCCCCCGAGGGCCAGTCGCAGCATCCCCAGAAGATGGCCCCCAGCAAGCTTCTTACAGATTGATGCAGATACGTGATCCCTCCAGGAGTGGAGTGCCCTCGGATGGGTCCGTGCACAGGGGAACGGAACGGAAAGGAACGGAACGGAACGAAGAGTCAGCCGTCTGGAGCAAACCGGGGCACATCCCTCAGCCTGGAACATGTGACTTTCTTGTCTCAAACAGATGTTACAGTCTATGGTTAAACTCTTGTTTTGGCAATCGCAAACCCACCTATTTAGGTCAGAATCACACATGGCGGGACTCCGTTGTTACACATACACAAAGGGGTTTGGTTACACTAAAGACAATTTAGGCCTCAACCTGAAGAGAAGCAGGAAGAGTATAGTTCAGAATTTTTTAAAGTGGCTTTATATTTAAATATTTGTGCTTTCTGTTGGGAAAAAGGGTAAGAATTGATTTAATATATCATACTTTAGAGACGATTCAGGGGGGTGCCTCTGTTTTCCATGTGTGTGAGTCTCTCTCTTTTTAAGGTATTAATGATAATTAAAACAGTATGCAGGTTTTTTCCCCCTGACAAGGAGTTTATAAATCAAATCCGGTGATCAAAAAAGGTTGTTCCCAGTACTCAAAACCTCCCTGTCCTTGAGGACACAATCTCAAGAGAACGGAAATCATGACTGTAATTTGAAAGTTCAGACACTACCAGCAGCCTCTGCCTTCACCGCCCAACGAAAATCTGACTCCACACCCCCAATCATAGCTTAAAATTATTACAAGTGGAAGACGAACAAGCGCAATCCAGAGAAATGTTGACACATTTCAACTGCCTTGATACAAATGGAACTTCTATTTCTCTTTTTGGACTGACACACACACACACACACACACACACACACACACACACACACACACCAGCAAAACTAAACTAACCAATACACCACGGTAGACGAGTCCCTACCTAACCTCCCTTGCCCTCATGTCCTTTTCGCTTTTCCGTCCTTTGTGTGAATGCCTGCAAAGAGACATACTTTATCCCTAGCTGCCCTGGAGACTAGATGCTCCTATTAATACCCATTTAGACACAACTGCAGAGTTCACAGGAAAAGCCTAGGCAAGCTGGATAATGAACTGTTCATTGCAGTCTGCTTCTCCCTGGATGCTTCAAGATGGGCACATCATCTCCTGCTTTTCAGAGATTTATGGGAACCCAACCAGAACCATCATCTTCATGCTTTCCTTCCACCCCATTCATTTTCCTCACCCTGAAGGTCAACAGCCTTTCTCATATGAGGGCTCATAGAAGGTAGCATTGGAAGGGGCCAAGAAGGCCATCGGGTCCAGCCCCCTGCTGTTGCAGGTCACCAACTCACACATGCTTGAAGAACCAGCAACGGGACAGAGAGGGACACCTCTCCGGGCAACTGTTTGCCTCTGTCGCCACTAGCCACCGATATGAGTAAGCCGAACAAAGCTCAGCCTTTGTTTTGGTCTAGTGGGCCACCAGTCTTGACGATGGCGTTGTAGCCAAGCACCGGTGCAAACGCTCCCCATCCCCCCCCCCCCCCCCCACCATTTTGTCCGATTCCACTGGTGCTTATTCACAAGCTTCTTTTGCTTCTGGGACCGATAATCTGGGAGCAAAAAAAGAGGAGATAAAAATGCAAGGATGTATGGAAATAAAAATTTTATTGGCCAAATGAGCATTGAATTGAAATTCTTTTTCAGGCTTACTTAAAAAGAGCTAGAGAATATAGTGGTGTGGCTTTTAAACTCAAGGCAAATTGTGATTTGAAACATGTTGAGCCAATAAAATCTTTATTTTTGAGCACCTTGGGATTTCACCTTCCCAGATCCCACTCACATCCCAACGCACACTTTTTTCCCTGTTGGTGGTGCCTTCCCTCCTTTGGTTTATCTTGGCAATTTGAGAGCCATACGGAGCCATTTAGGGGAATGGATTAGGGCCTAGCTATTTGCTCCTATCATAAAATGCTCTATGGCCGCTCCAACTCAATATGGTGGCAAGATCACATTTTGCAGTTGCTAAGCAACCACGGGGGTTTTGCTTCTACATTGGCAGAAACCCAAAATACAGCCTCAGAAAGGAGCAAAAGGTCCCAGATTATGGAGGACTCTTCGAGCCCCACTGGGAAAGGGAGAGAGGGAAAAGGGGCAGGCCCCTGGACACAAATCTTGCCCCATCTGCAGGGCACCGGAAAGCAGAAGGAACGGGGGGCACGACTCAGGACGAGGCTGCCGCTGCAGTTCCTCCCTTTTCCGCCATGGGCGGGGGCTTGGACGGAGGTGCGGCTGCAGGTCTCGCGGGCCAGTTCTTTTTGACTTCTCCTTGGGGCCTCCTCCAGAGGAGCACGTGCGTCGCCGCACAATTAGATCATCTTTGAAAGTGGCACGAGGCGCCTGGGGGCGTTTGTGTCTCTGCAGACACCTTCTTCACGTCGCAGCCCTTCTCAGGCCTGGTCCCGAGATGGCCAACATGCCCAGATGGGGCTGCCCCAGACGAAATATGCCTTGCGCACACTCGCTCAGCAGAGAAGACGGACAGTGCGGGTGCCCCCTTGGATAATTCCCGCTAGCGTGGGCCCTGCTCCCCATTCCTGCTGTCGTCGAACCCGAAACCAGACTTGGGCTGTCCTCTGTAGGCTAAACTCAGGGCCAACCCAGGGCCAGCCACATGAAGGAACACCCTCCTGCTCATGATGGGGTCACCAGGTGTAGCTGATCGTTTTATCTTCCATGGAGAGCTTTATCTACCTGAATATCCATCAAAGAGTGGGCCTTTAGACCTTGATGAGAATTACTGCCACTGCCCTCCAATCTAAAAGGTTGTGCCCATGTCTGGATTTCCTTGTTTTGCTGGGAAATTTCCCTCCCCCCGCCAATGTGTCCCGTGCAAAAGTTATTAGCCATTAAAGCAGATGGTGGTTGCTAAATGGCAGCTCCTTGAAAGGCAGACCAGCTCCTCTGCGCTTAAATTTCGATACGTCTTCCGCTTTATCAGGTGCAATCTCAGCTCCTTGCTAGACTCCACATCCCTCTGCAAGGTAAGATTAATCTAAACTTTAGATATCTCAGATGTAAGATGCCGATAGCAAGGCCTGGATTCCCCAGTCGGCAAACTACGCAAGAAAAGTCTAGTTTGCAATGAAGACAAGAGAGTGAAATGCAGTTTCGGACAAGGACCAGGACCAGAAATTCTCTGCAGTGGCCGACAGGAACAAGCCACAGGCATCGGTTGGGGGGGGGGGGGGCCCTAAATCCAAGCTTCGCCAAAACTCTGCCCTCCAAATTTCCTGGACTACAACTCCTATCATCCCCCTGTGCTAGGATGGCGGAAGCTGAAGTCCCACTTCTCTGGCGGGGGAAGGCTCCCCCAGTGGGCGCAGCATCCCGCCTGCTGCCCTTTGGGGCCACTGCCCCAACCTTTATCCCGCTCACTGCCGCCCACACAGTGGTCCGTGACCCTTGGTTTGTTTGCTGATCAAACATGGTGCCCATGCACAGCGGGGGGGTGGGGGCCCAGGCCCGCAATCCCACCCCCGCTGCCCTTGCAGGGCAGATTAATCACTAACTCGCCAGGGCAGCGACACCCAGGCGCTGGGGTCACACACGAGCCACGTGGCCGCGGGGGCGCGCGGAGGTGCACGTCCCGGCCGTGTGCCGCTCGGTGGCCGTCTTGCGAGGCCCAGGAACTCTCAGGGTCACTTGGACAAGACCGAGAGCGGAGAGGCGGGGGGGGGGCAGCCTCCTCCGACTCCCATCGCTCTGCCGCCCGGAAAGGCCCCGCCACGCGAGGAAAGGGACGCAGGAGGACACCTGGCCCTTCCCCACAGAGCTCCCGTCGTCGGAGCTCCGGGAACCTGCTGCCCGGTCCTCCACCTGCTCTAACTCCCGTCCACAAACGCCCTTTCTGGTCCGCCATCCTAGCTCACGTCCGGGGGCTTTTCAGCCGCGCTCTGGGAAGCACGGGGTCCCCCGGAAGGTCCCGGGGCATCTCCTCCGGCGTCGGGATGCCAGGGGCTTCGCATCTGCTCCGCAAAGCGGAGGCGCGCCTGGCGGCTTCTGCAACCTGCAGGCGAGGGAGCGAATGTGATCGGACGCACGTCCACAGCCGACTCGGGGCTGCGGCGGAGGCCCCGCGCCTGGCCAGCCGCCTGCCATTCATGTGGGCCAGAAGCTCCCACAATGCGCAGGTGTTCTGCGGCTGACACGCCGGGAGGGCATCTTGGCAGATGCGCCCATGTCGAAAGGCTTCCCTGGAAAGAACAAAGTCTGGAATCGACTGGGAGGGAGCCCTGCAGGAGCTGGTTGCTGACCACCGACACTTCTCTCTTCCTCCTCCTCCTCCTGCCACGCCACCCGCCCTGGTCATCCAGCATCAGCTTCTCTCTTTGCCCATCTATCCACTTCCCTCTGCCTCTTTCACTCCCCCCAGTCCTGTCTATTGATTGCAGCCTTCCCCAAAAGGCCGCCCTCCAGATATGCTGGACTGCACCTCCCATCATCCCCATGTGCTGCAGATGATGGGAGCTGTAGTCCTTTTTCCTCCAGATGGCTCCGGCCTGGGGAAGCCTTCAGAGTCTCCTATCTCTCCAGGCCATTTCCCCAACCTTTGTCCTCCACCTCTGCCACCCACACCCAGTGGCTGTGTGGGCTGGGGATGATGGGAGCTGCATCCTCCGGAAATCATTCCATTGATCCCAGATGTGCGTGTGTAGCCTTGTGCTGCCCAGTTCTGAGAAAATGAGATTGTTTCACACGCTCAGAGACACTCTTGTCTTTGTTCTGTTACGCATGCCAGGACCAACTCCTGCCCGGCACACCGAGCAGCACGAGGAGGTGCTAAACCGCGCGAGCGGCGCGGCGGCCACGCCAGGCCAGGCCGAAAGCCGCTTCTCCGTCCCGCGCCGCGCGCTCCCCGCGAGGAAAGAGCGAGCGCATCAGGGCGCCCGGCCCGGGAAGCTGCGTCTTCCTCCGGCCCAGCCGGAGCCGCGGCAGCGCTGCCCGCCGGCCCCGCGGTCGGTCCGGTCCGGTCCGGTCCCCCGGGGCCC